CCCACGGTGTCGCGGGCACTCCCCAGGTGCGGATGGCGCTGAAGAACGCGGAGAAGGAGCTGGAGTCCCACTGCAGCTGGGCTGCCCCCGAGGCCCTGCAGAAGTGGCTGCAGCTGACCCATGAGGTGGAGGTGCAGTACTACAACATCAAGAAGCAGAACGCAGAGAAGCAGCTGCTGGTGGCCAAGGAAGGGGTGAGAGCTGCAGCGGCCCCGTGCTGGGGCTGGGGGAGGTTTGGGGGTGAAGCCTGCAGGGTTTCTCTGCATCCTCTTGGGTTTGTGGCATCGTGGAATCCCAGGAGGGCTTAGGCTGGGAAGGACCTTAACGTTCAGCTCATTCCGTGGGCAGGGACAACTTTGGTTATATCCCAGGCTGCTCCAGCCCCAGTGTCCAACCTGGCCTTGGGCACTGCCAGGGATCCAGGGGCAGCTCCAGCTGCTCTGGGAATTCCATCCCAGCCCCTGCCCACCATGCCAGGGAACAATTCCCAATTCCCAGTCTCCCATCCAGCCAGCCTTGCCCTCCCTTAGCTCAAGGGCAGTTTCTCTCTTCATGCCTTAAATTTGCATCTTGTAAAAGTGCAGCCCAAGCGAGGTGTGAGCAGGGTTGAGGATGAGGATGAGGATGAGGATGATGCTCCTGAGCCACGGGCTCTCGGGATGGGCAGCTCCCAAGCTGGGTGCTGTTGGAGCCTGCAGCCCTGGGAATCTGGGGCAGGGATTGCTGTGCTGGGTGAGCTTTGCACCTCTCAGCACCTCCCTGCTCTGGGTGATGAGCGTGCACAGGCAGTGGAATCCCGAGGTCCTGAATCATCGCTGCGTTCCTGATCTGGGATTTCGGGTGCCAGCCCTGAGGGATGAGCCCAGGGAGCTGTTGTGACTCGTCCCCATGGCCATATGGAGCTGAGCTGGCAGCAGGGGAAACTGTCTGCCTTAATCTGCTTTGGTTGGGAACATTTTAACATTCCAGCAGTTTTCCTTTGGCTGTGTCAGTTCTTGCACCCACATCCTTGGCTTCCCTAAGTCCCAGGTTCATGCCACTGGAGTGGGAATGGGAGAGCTGTGGGAGGAGACTTTAATTTTTGACACAACAGCACAAACTCAGCCTCCAACCAGAAATCCTCCTGGGCACACACCCTGGGGTGTGTTTGGTGGTTATTCATAGGAGAGACCAGCCAATGTGTGAGAGCCCTTCACTGAGTGAGGTGCCTGGGTCATGGAATCATGGAATGCTTTGGGTTGGAGAAACCCTCGGAGACCTTCCAGTCCACCTATTCCCCGAGCAGTGCCAAGGGCACCACTGCCCCGTGTCCCCAGGTGCCACATCCACAGGGCTGTGAAATCCCTCCAGGGATGGGACTCCAACTCTGCCCTGAAAGTTCAGCCTTCCCTCAGATTTTTGAGAAACTGGGAGAAGGGAGCATGAAATCCCCACCTGCCACTTGCTGCTGGGGAGTCCCTTCAGCCCAGTGTCAGGGAGAAGAACATTCCTCAGTAACAACATGATTCCCACCATTCCCCCACGTGCAGGCAGCTGCAGGGACTGTTCCTGTCCCAGCCCATCCAGGATGTCCAAGGCCTGGAGGAACCTTCGGGTTGTCTTCTTCCTGTGACCCTTCTCTGTTGATATTCCAGGCTGAAAAGATCAAAAAGAAGCGAAACACCCTCTTTGGGACGTTCCACGTTGCTCACAGTTCCTCTCTGGATGATGTGGATCATAAAATCTTAACTGCAAAGTGAGTGTCTGCTCAGCACCCCCTTCCAGCCCTCCCCTGGGCCAGGCAGGAGCATCCTCACCTCACAGGGCTCTGGGGCTCGTTGTGCTGAACTTCTGCCCTGCTCAGTGACCTGGGCTTGGACCTGCTCCTCTTCATCAGCGGCCTTCTGATTTTACTGGGAGAAACAAGGGGTCACAGTTACGTGGAGCAAGTAAAGGTCCTGCCACAACGAGGTTCCAGGAGGCTGAAGGATGCTTAAGGGATTGTTCTGGAATGGCTTCATTGGGAGGGACCCCAAATCCCACCCAGTGCCACCCAGCCATGGCAGGGACACCTCCCACTGTGCCAGGCTGCTCCAGCCCCAGTGTCCAACCTGGCCCTGGGCACTGCCAGGGATCCAGGGGAATCTGGGAATTCCATCCCAGCCCTGCCCACCCTGCCAGGGAACAATTCCCAATTCCCAATCTCCCATCCAGCTCTGCCCTATTTATCTAGGTTCTGCTATCAACTTTAATTTTTGATACACTTTCATGGAGCTGTTTTTATAACTAGATTCTGAGTGATTTGATAGATTTATATAGTACATTTTAAAAATGTATTATATTACAAAAATATGTATATTATATATATTATGTGCATTATTATTAATATATAATATATAATATATATTGTCCATAGTATATTTTATATTAATAATATACATAATACATATAATATATAATACATATATGCTATGTATTCTATATATTAATATAGAATATGTATATATTATTAAAATTTACAAAATTATAAAATATAATACTTTTTAAAAATACATTTTAAATTTATTAATAATATTTTATAATAGAATATTTTAAAATATATTTTAATTATATTATAAAATTATTAATATTATTACTTTATAATATTTTGTTATTTTTATAATATTTTTATAATGCATATTTAAAATAAATTTTAGATTTCATAACATTATTTTGTAATATAATAAATTTAAAATTTATTTAAAAAATATATTCTATTATAAAATTATTAATATTATTTTATTGGTTTTATAATATAATATATTAAAATTAAAAATTAATTGTATTATACAATTTTTAATATTATTATTTTATAAAGTGCTTTTATTATTTTTATAATATTATTTTATAACACGATACATTTAAAGATCTGTTACATTATGAGATGTTCCCATCGGTGCGTTAGTGCCAGTGGGCAGCGGTGCTGGGTGGGAGCGGCGCTGCCCTGTCCCTGTGCTCCATGCCCCGCTGCCCTGTCCCTGTGCCCCGTGCCCCGCTGCCCTGTCCCTGTGCCCCGTGCCCTGCTGCCCTGTCCCTGTGCCCCGTGCCCACCCCGCTGCCCTGTCCCTGTGCCATCCCCAGGCAGGCGCTGAGCGAGGTGACGGCGGCGCTGCGCGAGCGCCTGCACCGCTGGCAGCAGATCGAGCTGCTCTGCGGCTTCCAGATCGTCACCAACCCCGGCCTGCACTCGCTGGCCTCGGCCCTCAACATCGACCCCGCCTGGATGGGCACGCCCCGGCCCAACCCCTCGCACTTCGTCATCACCGACGACGTGGATGACCTGGACGAGGAGCTGGTGTCACCCATGTCCATCCAATGTACGTGGCTCCCGGGATGGGGGGCTCCCGGGGATGGGGGGACTCCCTGGGAATGGGGGACTCCTGGGGAATGGGGAGCTCCTAGGGGATGGGGGGCTCCCGGGGATGGGGGAACTCCCTGGGAATAGGGCAGTGGAGGCTCCCTGGGAATGGGGGAACTCCCTGGGAATGTGGCTCTGGGAGCTCCTTGGGAATGGGGGTGCTCCTAGGGAATGGGGAACTCCCTGGGTACAGGAGGCTCCCGTGGATGGGGGACTTCTGTGGAATGGGGCAACGGGAGCTCCTGGAGAATCGGGGGGCTCCCTGGGAATGGGAGAAACTCCCTGGGAATGCAGCTCCCTGAGCTCCCCGGGGATGCAGGGGCTCCCTGGGAATGGGGGACTCCCTGAAAATAGAGGCTCTGGGAGCTCTCTGGGAATGGGGCTCTGGGAGTTCCCTGGGAACGGGGGCTGTGTCTGCGGGGTTGGGGCTGTGGCACAGAGCAGAGCTGGATCTGTAGTTCACCTGTCAGGAGGGGTTCATGGACCCAAGCTGGGGTTTCCATGCCCAAAGACACAGCTGGTCCATCAGGGTCAGGAGCATCCCTGACAGGCCAGGCCCCACTCTGGGGTTGTCTGCAGCCCGTTCATTGCAGCAGAACTGTAATTTAGGGATGGTTAGTCATCATTTCCTTCTACCTGTGCTGTTCTGGTCAACTCAGGGATTCAAGCATTTACCAAAACCCCCACCAAAGGCATGGGTAGACACGGCAGTGGGACAGGAAACGGGATTATCCTGGTGTCCCCTTGGCCTGAGCACTTTTTTGGGATGTAGAGACTCAAAGCTGCCCTCTCCTGAGGCACAGCTGGACCTGCATCCTGCAGCATTCCTGTGGGAGCAGTAGTCTGCCAGCCTCAGGGACCTGTCAGACACTCCCTGGAGCAGAGGCTGCCCCAGCTCCAGCTCTGTGCAGGGCTTGGGGTCAGCCAGCGTGGCTGTCCCTGCTCGTTGGTCACTCCCAGGTGGCTGTCCCTCCTCGCTGGTCACTCCCAGGGTGGCTGTCCCTCCTCGTTGGTCACTCCCAGGTGGCAGTCCCTCTTTGTTGGTCACTCCCAGGTGGCAGTCCCTCCTCGTTGGTCACTCCCAGGGTGCTGCTCTCCTCGTTGGTCACTCCCAGGTGGCAGTCCCTCTTTGTTGGTCACTCCCAGGGTGGCTGTCCCTCCTTGCTGGTCACTCCCAGGGTGGCTGTCCCTCCTCGTTGGTCAATCCCAGGTGGCAGTCCCTCTTTGCTGGTCACTCCCAGGTGGCTGTCCCTCCTCGTTGGTCAATCCCAGGTGGCAGTCCCTCCTTGCTGGTCACTCCCAGAGTGCTGTCCCTCCTCGTTGGTCACTCCCAGCGTGGCTGTCCCTGCTCTGCCAGGCCCAGAGCCCATGGAGGGAGGGCTGAGTGTGGCTCACCCTGTGCCTGTGACCCCCCAGCTGCTGAGCTCCTGGGCTAGGTGGCACTGTCACCTTCTCTGCAGCGCCTGGGGGTCAGCCCTGGCTGCTGTTCCTGCCTGCAGCTGGCCCAGGCCCTGCCTTGCTTCTCCCAAAAGGGCATTTTCCAAATAGTCTCCCCTTGGGTATTGCACCAGAGGCTGAGGGAGCTGGAGAGCAGGGACAGGGCCTGGGGACAGCACCTGGCAGGGCACAGCACCCTGATCCAGGCACTGTCATGGAATCATGGGATCACAGAGTGGATGGGCTTGGAAGGACCTTAAAGCTCCTCTAGTGCCACCCCTGCCATGGCAGGGACACCTCCCACTGTGCCAGGCTGCTCCAGCCCCTGGCCTTGGGCACTGCCAGGGACCCAGGGCAGCCCCAGCTGCTCGGGGCCACTCTGGGTGACTTAGTCCAAGGCAGGGCTGTTTGGGGCAGCAGAAGGGAGGAGCAGAAGGGCCTCAGGGCTGGCACTGTGTGCTGCAGGAGGTGCCCTGTGTGCCAGGGCCACGTCCCCTCGGTCTGGGGGAGGTCCAGGGGCAGGGGCCAGGGGAGGCAGAGCTTGGAGGCCTTGGTGGGGCAGGAGGAAGGGGTACCTGTGTGTTCCCAGGGCCCTGCAGACGTGGGCGCTGGAGCCAGTTTGTGGCATCAGCTGTGTTTTGGGACACTAAAGCTTCAGGGAAGGGACACATCCTGCTCCTTGTCATTCCCAGTCGCCCTCAGAATCGAGGTGGACATCTCTGTCCAGCCCTGGCACAGCCCCAGCTGGACACTGGTGGCAGGGATGCTTGGACAGTCCCAGGTGACACCTGAGGACCTCAGCTGGGCCCCGTGTGAGCCTTCAGCCCCGATTTCAGCCTCAGCTTCTTGGCACTTGAGACTCCTTGAGTGAGACATTTCCAGGGAGCACTTCCATTATCCAGAGCTGGGCAGAGAGCCTGCCCACCCTCCTGCCCAGCTGCCTGCCCCTCCTGCCCACCGCCCTCCCTGAAGTGAAGCACCTCCAGCCAGCACTGGGCACTGCAGTTCCCAAAGCAAGGGAGCCTTTCCCTGTAGGATTTCCTTCCTTGGTGTGCAAACCCTGCCTCGTGAGAGCAGTGCCAAGTTTCTCCTGCCCAAGTGTGTTGCTGAGGACCCGTGGTGCTGCTCTCAGTAAATGGCATCTCTCTCTTTCCTGTTCCCACCTGGCTGGCCCCCAGATGCAGCCTGGCTTTTCGGGCGCAGGTTCAGCGACCGCTCCTCGCTGTCCTCGGAGGATCAGTCCCTCTGGAAATACCCTGGTTTGGTTCTCTTCAATTTTATTTCCATTTTTTTATTCTGCCTTCTGGCCTTTTTCTGGACTAAAATACATCCACCAGTTTTCCATCTTTCTGGCACGGGAACTAATGAATGTTCTGTCCTCACTGAGCCATCGCCACCTGCACTAACCCCGGGAAGAGTCTGGTGGGATGAAGAAGAATCTCAGCTGCAGCTCCCACGTGCTCCTGGGTGCAGCTAGGGAATCTGGGGGGTTGGACTTATTCCATTTCACCCCTGAGCTGGAGATGAAGGACCCAGTGAGGGCGGGAGGAGGTGACAGCATTCCCTGTCCCATCCCACCTCCTTCCCTGCTGCCCCATCCCTCCCTGCAGAATCCCTGAGCAGGGATAAACTGAGCAGTGCCAGCCTTAGGGAAAGCTGTCCCTGTGTGCCCTGGCGAGGCACTCAGCCTCCTGGCCTTGGCTTCCTTTGGAAGCCTCCCCTCGGAGGGGGAACAGGAGCTGGATGTGCCAGCCTCGTGCTGGGAGGGCTTTTCCTTGGGGTGCTGGGCAGGGAGTTTGGGGAATGTTGGTAAAACGTGGGTCTGGGAAGCCAGGTCCCCCTCCAGAGCTCATGGCAGGGTAAGTCTTGGAGAAGGAGAACACAAAGCAGGGAAGTACTGAGTTGGGAAATGAGAGGTGGAACACCAGGAAAAAAATGGGGAATCCTTAGGGGAAAAAGTGTGGCCCAAGGGAAAAAGAAACCTGTAGCAGAAACCCATCACCCCAGTGAGTTACTCTGCAGTCAGATCCCTGTGAACCCTCCACAGTGAGATTCCCAAATTGGAATTGCAGCTCTGGAGCTAAAAAAAAAAAAAATTCTTGCAATAGAATAGATGGTGTAAGATTCCACGTTCATGGATGGACACTGTAGGGAGCAAGGGGCAGTGGGAAAGACTGGGATTCACCTTGGGGCTGTGGAGACAGCCAAGTTGTCAGAATTATTCCTTCTTATTCCTTCTTCCACTGGAAATGCATCCCTGTGGATCTTTCAGTCCTGAGTCGTTCTGCCAGAGGAGCCCTGTGTGTCCAGCTGGGATTTTCCAGAGCAGGGGTTGCTGGTTCTTCCATTCCCAAAGGAGCTCTCCTCCATTTCTGAGCTTTCCTGTCTCTGCATCTTTTTAACCCATTGGAACATTCATTTCTTATGCACATAAGAAATCCTGAGCAATCCTGAACACCTTATCTCCTGCCAAGGGAGGATCATCTTGTATGCAATGGCAGCAGGGGGTGGAATAAAGCCAGCCTGGCTGGCTGGGGATGGGGCTGCAGCCCTGGGATCCCGCTCTCCATGATGGAGGGGAGCATTCCCAAGGCTCCAGGCAGGTGAGGGGGCCTCCCCTGGCTCTGGGGGTGACCCTGGGGGCAGGTGTGGGGCACAGGCAGCTGCTCAGGGGCTGCTGGGCTCCAGTTCCAGCCAGGTGTGACCACAGGGCTGGAGAGATCCCGAGGAGCTTTGAAGGCAGGGCAGGAGCTGGGGCTGGGATTCCAAAGGACATTCCCGTGTGGTTCCCCAAACCAAGGGGAATTAGCAGCCAGAGGAGGATATTTCTCAGGTTGAGGGGGTCTCTGATCAGTCACGGTGGTCACAGAACAGGCTGGCAGCAGCTGAGGCCGCTCGGGGGCCACAGTCACCAGTGCAGGCATGGGGGAATCAGGAGTGAATCCCAGAAAGTCTGGGATGGGAGCGACCCTAAAGCCCACCCAGTGCCACCCCTGCCATGGGGACACCTCCCACTGTGCCAGGCTGCTCCAGCCCCAGTGCCCAACCTGGCCTTGGGCACTGCCAGGGATCCAGGGGCAGCTCCAGCTGCTCTGGGAATTCCATCCCAGCACTGCCCATCCTGCCAGGGAACAATTCCTGCCAAATATCCTCAACCCAAACATTTTCAACCAAACAGGGAACTGCCACATCCCTGGCAGTGCCCAAGGCCAGGTTGGACACTGGGCTTGGAGCAGCCTGGGGCAGTGGGAGGTGTCCCTGCCATGGCAGGGGTTGGAGGAGATGATCTTTAAGGTCCCTCCAGCCCAACCCAGTCCCTGTATGATTCTGTGCTGCCACTGCTCTGCTCCTGGTGCTGCCCCCACACAGTGAACTGAGCAGAGCTTCAGGTGCCAACACTGCCCTGCTCACCTGGGGCTTCTGCTTTGGGCTGTGAGGGTCCCACCCGGGCAGCAGGCCTGGGACCATGAGAGGGTGAAAGGCCCTGGAGGTGCCCAGTTCTGGCTCTCCAGGAGCCAGGTGGTGGCTCCAGGTGGGATGAATCACGCAGCCGCTCTCTGCGTCAGGCAAGATGCTCAGATAAGGTGTTCAGAGGCACCTGCATCACCAATGCTGGAGTTTTCCATGGGCTGGGCATTAACCCAGCATGTTCAGCACCAGCTTAAAGCTGCTTCTGCATTAAACAGGCCTTAACTGCTGGCACGAGGTGGGACAGTGCTGGTGGCACAGGGATGCTGGGATGGTGCTGCTGGGATGGTGTCAGTGGGACTGGGATGGTGCTGCTGGGATGGTGCCAGGGGGACTGGGATGATGCTGCTGGGATGGTGCCAGGGGGACTGGGGTGGTGCTGCTGGGATGGTGCCAGGGGGACTGGGATGA